GCCCGGCGCCCGGCGCTCTGCGGCGCGGAGTGTGCGGCGGCGGCCCGGCGCGCTCGGGTTTCCGAGGGGCATTGGGGAGCCGAGCTGTCCGTCACGGCGCCTCATCTGCATGCTCCGCCGGGCCCGCCCCTCCGCCGGCCCCGGGAGGAGGAGGAGGAGGAGGGAGGGGGGTGCGAGGAGGCGGCCCTGCTGCGCCGCACGCCCTGCCTCCCGCCTGCGGGTGGTGCAACCCCCCAGCCAAATTGGGGGGGTTGCATGGAGGGGAGGGGGGTGCCCGGCCGTGCCCGCGTGCAACACATGGCAGCCCTGTCCCCCGGGCCCGTGGGGGGCAGCCGCAGGGCGTGCCCCCACCAGTCCCCGTCTCCGATCCCGCGCTGGAACATCTCCGCCTTCAGGACAGGGCGGACCAGGAGCCCGCGGGGTCACCCCCACCCCTCCCCCGGCTTTGCCCCGCCTAGGGGGGGCGCCAGCACACGTTCCCGCGGGCTGGCCGGGCTGGCATCACCCCGCGGGTCTCGGGCTCCGCCGCCCCGCTGCTTCCCCCCTCGTTGCATCCCTGTGTGCCACCCCTTCACGCCATTTAGTTAACCAAATGTGGAGGTGCGGGCCGCTGGCAGGGGGAGGCTTTGCGAGCTGTCCCAGAGCAGCACAATGAAGGGGTTGGGGGGAAATAGGTTCCCTCGGAGTCTGCCGCACAGGGACGGGAAGGGGAGAGGTGTAAGTTGGCCGGGCTGCCCATTGTTAATCAATTACCCAATGCTGCTAATGCAGACAGGGGTATGGGCGTAGCTGTGTTGGGCCGGCTGTTTGGGTACAGCCAGATCTTTTATTAGGTCCAATACAAGATCTCGGCTGTACCCAACGAACTAATGCCGAGATGCACTGAGAGAGGCGGCTGCCATGCTCTCGCTCTCTCTCCAGGGGTGTGCTTCCCTGGGAAGCGGAGGGTCTGGACATCACCTGCCCGGGTGGACATCTGGAAGCATGTTGAGTTTTGGGTGTTTTGGCTGTTGGAAGTCACCTGGGCTCCCCCCCCTTCTTCTCTGCCCACCCCCATCCCCATCCCTCCCGCGCAAGGCTCCGAAGCGGTCTGGCCAGCAGACACAGTGGATTAATGCCTCTCCAGCTGTATCAGCTGGCCTCTGGGAGATGCAATCCTCGAAAAAAGGGAGGTGAGGGGGAGGAGGTTAACCCCAACAGGTATTTCTTGTCATGAAATCTCGAGTTCCCAGTTTGCGATAAGAAAGTGATAAACAACAGCTAAACTCAATGCAACAGATTACAGGACAGACGCTCGCTCCCCTACGTGATGATTAATGCACATACATTAAATAAAACTAGGAAAATGTTTTTAAAAAACCCCACAAGAGCTTAACATAGCGCACTCTCATATTGCCAGAGTTATATAGAATAATCGATCTCAGGCGATTGCATCTGAATAGTACATTTCTCTGTTTGGCAAACCGACCTTTAAGGATCTGCATTTGGGGGGCTCTGCTTTAGCGCAGCTGCAGCAGCTGCAGAGTTCCCAATGCAAAATTAATTATAACCTTATAAATGCATACATGAAGCTCTCTAAATCAAACAGCACGCCCTGAGAAATAGAGCAGACCCTCCGCCTTTTTATTTGGGAAGACACATCTCTCTTCTTTCCAGCGGGGGTGACGTAAGTATTTATCTACGGGAATTGATTGCTTTTAGTTCCCCCTCTTTAATAATTAGTGGTGCAATTCAGATTGGGAATACAATGGCCGCTGTGTTTACATTTTAACAGGGGATTAATGCTATTAAGTGACTGTTACAGTTATGACCTGGGAAGAGTGCTTAAATAAATACTGTGGTCCCAAGAGGACTGATATGATTCAGTTCAGAGTGTGCGCAGCTACATGTATGTACAGATCTACACACACACACGTGTTACATACGCGGCATAGATGTGTATGGATGTATCAAATGGGATGTTGCCGCTCTTTGCCTCGGTGCAACTCTTCTGTGATTTCCTTGGGACGATGTACTCAATCAGGAATTCGAGCCCGAACAAACACAAAGAGCAACCGGTACTAAAAAGTGCAATATTTTCATCTCTGCCTTCCAAAAAACCCCTCGTTTTGTCTTTAAAAAAAACCAAAAAAAAACCGGGGACTAATATTGCGGGAGATTGATAGAGTTTAATATTATCATTTCAAAAGACAAATTCTAGCCTTGGTTTGATTTGCATAATTTTTGTGTGTTTGTTTAGCATCAGAAGGATCCGGTCTTGTCCACTGCAAGGAGGGAACATGCTTCTTATTGCAATAAAAACATTACTGATTGGACTTAGCAGAACTGAGCGAACGAAAAGCCACTAAGGTCATTTCAATACAACGTGTAAAGTCTCTGTGATAAGACCTCCCTGAAATGTGTGGCCAGATTGCTTTCTGCAAATGGCCGGGGTACGGATTATATTGAACTTTCCCCCGGTTTATGCTCTCTTTTGCCCTGGTTACTTTAGCTTGTCATCCATGGGGCTCCTGAGCTGAAAGCCCCTCTTCCAAGAGTCCTGTTTGTGACTAATAAAAGCCGTCTATCTTGCACTATTAAGCAGTAGAATAGCACGACGTGCACTTTTTATTGGTAAAAACTGTAGCGAATTAAAATGCCTACACGGAGACATTAAAACCTACACGCTGCCTTTTGATTTGAATATCTATTCATTGTTTCAGTATTTGCACGCCTGGCTGTTCAGCGACGGCCGCATTTTCCCCTTGTGATTTAAAGTTTCCTGGAGGGGTAATTAATAAACAGTTAACAGAGAAGGGTCCTTTCCCGGTCCTCTTTCTCCTTAAGGATTTGGGGGAGACCTGCGTGTTTGGGGTTTTTATTTTGGGGGGGAGGGGTCGCTGGTTGATCGTTTAAGTGCAACCTCCGCCTGCTCACACCAACGCCACTTCCGAGGCTGAAGTTTGAAGGTGATCAAAGTTGGTCTCTGGGAATAGTGTCCTCCCTAATATAAGGCAAACACGAGCTGTTTGCTCTGTGTAATAACTGGCGGTGTGTGTTTATGCACAGACGTGTGTGTTCCGGGGGTGTTTGCTTTAGGACCCGATCCTGCTGTCTTGAATCAGGTTGAAATCCTAGCTTTGCCATGCCCAGGACTGCAAGCCCCGGCCCAGATCCACCCTCCCGGGTGCAGCGGAGTGGATGGTCGCGCAGGAACTTGTGGACGCAGCGCCCTGGGACCTGCGGTCCCGCAGCCCGCACCTGGCCCGGCTCCTGCGGGGCTGGGGAGAGCTTCCCCCGCTCTCTTCTGATGCGGGGATCGCCACCATCCCCTGTATTTAACAGCATGAGATAACGGGCTGCTGTATTAAAAAAAGAGAGAGAGAGAGAACCATGATACAGGCAAGCAGGGCGAGGGGAGATGCTGGGTTTCCTAGGCAGAAGACAGGCTGGCTTTCCGAGGCCGCTTGAGTGCGTGTGACAGAAAGGGAGAGCCTTTCTGCAGCGTCTGTTCATAGAGGCAACGTGGAAGGGCTGGGGAAAGGCAGGCAGGGGGGCAAAGAGGAGAAGGACCCCCCCATCTCCAGGATCAGATCTCTAGTTCAGGCTGCACGTGGGAGAGGGCGCTGTGGCAATGGCTTTGCCCCGCGCTCCGGCGCAGACACAGCGTGATTGTTTGTGGAAGCTGCTTCCCCTGGGTCCCTGCTCGGATTTCACGCCCTGCTTTCCCTTCCCCACCTTGTCTAATTGCGGGCCCACGCCGCAGGCAGCGGAGCGGGGATCCTCGCAGGGGCGAGGCTCGCGCCCCTTCTCCTGGTCTCAGCCTGACTTCGCTTCTCAGCTGGGCAGCCAAGGGCATAAAAGCACGAGAGGTTTCTCTGCCCCCTCTTTTCCTCGGAAACGCTGCCCCAACTTTCTGAGGACGCTAGAGCTCTGGCAG